CCTACACTCACCTTTACTGGCTCCATCCCCGCCTCTTTGACCTGTCTGTCTCCTCTCTACCTATCTTCTCCTCTATCCATCTTCTATCCACCTCCCCCTCTCTCCCTATTTATTTCAGAACCCACTTCCCCTTCCCCATTTCTGAAGAAGGGTCTAGGCCCGAAACGTCAGCTTTCCTGCTCCTATGCTGCTGCTTGGCCTGCTGTGTTCATCCAGCTCTACACCTTGTTATCTCAGATTCTCCAGCATCTGCAATTCCTACTATCTCTGATCTACAGATCTCACTGATCTTTGGAACTGTGTTTCAAGTTTCTACTGTCTCAGAATTCAAGGACAGCATTGCAGTGGGATGTGTATAACTTCTAACATATCCTTTCAAAGAAGTTCAGCTCATCTCAAACAAACAATAATTAACAAACCAAAAAAATGTACTTATTGAAATTTAGAACTCATTCGAACATAATGTTAGTAAAATGCTCAAAATAATCTGTAAATGATCGTGGTATAGGGGCATACACCCTCCACTTTTTTGACATTGATCTACTCCTAGTTTTGTGTTCAGTGGCTGCTCCTTTATGCATTTTGTTTCCCTGTCTTCTATACACTGTCCTCAAACAATACCCACCTTATATTGACGATCATTTTATTTTGAAAGAGAAGTTAAAATTCTTACCTTGTCTACTGATACATTTGGTCTGGAAGAGCAAAGAAAAATTCCGTAACTATTGATTTTCACAAATAAAGTGTGACTAAATTGAAATGCAACTTAAGCCAGGAATTTGCACTTTAATACAGCTAATTAGTATTAACTTTCAAAATGCTGAATAGAAAATCTTTCCTACTATAATAGTACAGGTCACTGCAGCATCATAGTTGTGGTTATTAATTGAAAAGCTTACCAAGTTGCTTAAAGTACTTTATCAGAGACAGATCAATTGGCATTGTAAGATGACAGTGTTTCTAGTAACAAATTCAAGGGGAGGCGGAATTGGAATGGTAGTAGCACTGGACCAGTAATTTACAAACCCAGGCTAATGCTTTGGGCAAATGGGTTTGAATCCCATTTGAATCACCATGACAATGGTGAAACTTGAATTCAATTAAAAAACCTGGAGTTGAGAGTTAGCTTAAAGGCAAACATATCAGTCTCAAATGGGCAACCCCTTATTCTGAGATGATGTCCTGTTCTTAGACTTACCCACAAGACAAAACAAACTCTGAATCTATTCTCACAAGCTCCTAAAAAATCCTGTATGCTTCAGTAAGGTCTCCACTCATTCTTATAAACTCCAATGAGTACAGGCCCAACTTACTCAACCTCTCCTCATATGAAAATCCCTTCAAACTTTCAACCTTTGTCTGTTCTGCTTCCAGTATATCTTTCCTAAATAAGTGGACCAGTATTCCAGCTGTGTCTGACGAGTGCCTTATATAGTTTTAGCAAGGCGCCTCTATATGAAAACATTATTGCCTTTGAAATAAAGATCAACATTCCATTTGCTGTCCCTATTACCTGAACTTGAATGTTAGCTTTTTATGATTAGAAAACAGAAACATGGAAAATAGGAGGAGACTGTTCAGCCCTTTGAGCCTGCTGCACCATTCATTCTGATCATCCAACACAATAGCCCGTTCCTGCTTTTCCCCCCATACCCTTTAGTACCTTTAGCCCCAAGTGTTATATCATACAGTGTTTTGACCAACAACTGCTTTCTGTGATAGCAAATTCCACAACTCACCACTCACTGGGTGAAGAAATTTCTCCACATCTCAGTCCTGAATAGTTCACCTCATTTCCTTAGATTGTGACCCCCGGTTCTGGACTTGCCCACCATTGAGAACATCGTTCCTGCATCTATCCTGTCTAGTGCTATTAGAATTTTATAGGTTTCTGTAAGACCTCCCTCTCATTCATCTCAACTTCAGCAAATATAATCCTAACTAATTCAACTCTCCTCATGTCAGTCCTCCCATCACAGGAATCAGTCTGGTAAACGGACATTGGTGAGGCCATAGCTGAAGTACTGTATGTAGTTTTGGTCCCCTAATCTGAGGAGGGATGCACTTATTATAGTGGGAGTGCAGTGAAGGTTTACCAAATAGATTGGATGGGGTGGGGATGGGATGCACTTCAGAGGGTCAGTGCAGACTCGATGGACCAAATGGCATGCTTCCACACTGTGGGATTCTATGATTCTATAATCTTTTGATGCATTCCCTATGTAGCAACAGCATCCTTCTTCAGATCAGGCGACCAAAACTACACATAATACTTCAGGTGCCATCGCACCAAAGGCCTGTGTACTTTCAGCAAGACATCCTCTACTCAAATCCTCTCGTTATGAAAGGCCAAGATAGCATTTGCCTTCTTGACTGCCTGCTGCACCTGCATACTTATCTTCAGTGACTCATGTACGAGGAAACCCAGGCCTTGTTGCTCATTCCCATCTAAAGTCATAGCCATTCAGATAATAATCTGCCTTCTTGATTTTGCTCTCAAAATGGATAACCTCACATTTATCCACACTTACTGCACCTACAATAAATCTGCACACTTACTCAACTTGCCCAAATCACAATGAAATATCTCTGCGTCTTCCTCACAATTCATCCTGTCAGCTTTATGTCATCTGCAAATTTGGAGATATTACATTTAGTCCCTTCATCTGAATTGTTAATAGATAATATGAATAGCTGGGGTCCAAGCACCGACCACTGCCTGCTATTTGGCAAAAGACCCGTTTATTCTCAGCTATATTGCACGGCATAGTGTTTTAAACAGCGACAATACAGAGCAAAGTGCAAAGTTTTCATCAGTTTCTACACATTTCCTTCTCTGGGGATTTCAACTGCACAATTTGTGGAGCAATAGGGAATCACTGATAGCAACCTCTAAATGTCAGTATTTAACTAAATATGCCTGGATGCAAGATATTGCTCTGTTTCACAAGCTAACAGCGAATGCTGTCAGTGTTGCTGTCATTACAATCGCGAATTCCAAGCCAACATATGCTAATTATCGCCAGTTCACAACTCCAAACAAAAGGTAAACTTGTTGTGTTATATTTTGACTCAAAAGTACAACTTATCCCTTTCTTACCTGTTAGAACTATTCCTCAAGTATGTTGCTAGCCTAGCTTTGAATGCGTATCTTGGAAATGTTTCTTTCAACTCCACATTCTATACTCCTTTATGAATTTATATTTCAATTAAATGCATTTTTCTCACTCTGTCCTTTGCCTGCATTTTTCTTGTTTAGGTCATCTGTTTTCCTTTCTTTTTTATAGCCTGTTAGTCACATGACTCTATGACTCATGCTTCTTTTAGTATGTTTTTGATTCCATTTTTGTCCTCCTCTAGATTGCTTCTAAACCTCATGCTGTCTCATCCTGTCTTTTCTGTAAGAGCAAATGCAAGAAGGGTATGCAGGTGAACCTAAAGGACATAAAAACAGCCAACATATTGTCTGATGAAAATAATGATTAGTGGTCAAATCTGAGAAAGCTGCATGCTGTTCAAATATCTAGTTCATATCTTTTTAAGACCTACCAATCAAGTATGAAAACATAAATTATGTCATGACTAAATATTTAGGTCACATCTATTTTTATGGCTAAACAGACTCTAACTTAAGAGAATAATTTTTTGGTAGCGAGACTCAAAAGTATGGATACCATAAGAATAGCTTGAAATCCACCTTGCTTTCATCTTCACCTGGTCCATCTCTAACTCCTCTCTTCCCTTCCTTGACATCTTTACTTCCATTTTGGGGGATAAGCTGGCCACCAATATCTATTACAAACTCACTGGCTCCCAGTTATCTTGATTCACACACTGCTTCCTGTAAGGACTCTATTCCATTCTCCCAGTTTCTACATCTGTTTCATTTGTTCTGATGATGCCATCTTCTGCAGGAGACCCTCAGAAATGTTCATCTGTTTCCTCAGCAGAGGATTCCTCACCACCATGGTTGACAGGGCCTTCTGTCACATCTGAACCGTTTCCCACACTCTGTTGTGGGAAACGAAAGACGAGGTGAACGCAATCAAAGGGTTCCCGGTTCTCACTTTCTACCTCACTGGTCTCCACATCCAAAGGATCATAAGCTGCCATTTCTACCTCCTCCAGTGGGATGCCACCAGCAGACACATATTCCCCTCCCCTCCCCTCCCTTATCAACATTCTACAGAGACTGTTCCCCTCCTCCTCTACTCCCAACACTCCCACCCCACAGCACCTTCCCATATAATAGCAGAAGTTGCAACACTTGCCCATTTACCTCCTCACTATTCAAGACACCTGATACACTTTCCAGTGAATTAAGGATTTACCGATACTTCATTCAATCTAGTCAACTGAATTCGCGGCTCACAATGTGGTCTTCTCTTCACTGCAGACTGGGTGACCACCTACAATCTGTCTATAAGTATGACCCTGCGTTTCCAGTTGTCTACCGCTTCAACATATCATGTTCTAATGCCAAAATTTCTGCCTCAGGTCTGCTGCAGTGTTTCTGCAAGGATCAATGCAAAGTTTGCTCAATCGCTTGGTTCGCTGCAATTAAAACAACACCATCCTGAGTTAATTCTTTGGACCATGCAAATTTCTAGAAAAAAAAAGAGAAAACTACAAAATTGCACTATTGAAACATTAAATCTACATATTGCGATGACATAATTATAAATAGTGAACTTACCTAGAGTGTGATGCACAGAATTCTGACAGCTTCACTATTTTGCAGTCATCTAAAGCTTTAACAAACCTCCGTTCTGTCGTCTCCCTTGCGATTGCTGCCTTCTGTTTCACTTCTGCAAGAAAAACAGTCAGCCATGCAGCAAGATAGTCCAATAAAATTAATGCATCAAAACTCTGGCTGTTAAAATCATCAGCAAGGATTTAACAGGAAGTTAATGAAGTGGGGATCAAATTCATCAGTTTTCCAAACAGAACAGGTCATTTTTTTAAGTGGTAAGTAATCCCATGTGTCCCTATTTCATTATTACAGCAGTTAGATTTTGTTGAACATGGGTTTCAAATGAGTACTTTTCTCCACGCCATGTCAGAAGACATGCATATGTGATACTACAATGATTTTTAGTCATTGGTTCTCCCACATTTACATGCTTCCACATTCTTCGCTTGCCCTTTGAAATTATAAGCAATTATCTGTCAACAAGAATTTATAGTGACATTAGATTGCAAGAAAAGGGTAAGAAGTATGGCATAATATTAAACAAATGAAAAGAACAACCAAACTGGAAAGTCACCACAAATTGGCAAGATAGGGAATTGCATGAAAATAAACAAAAGGGTCATGTTTATAATAATGGAAACACTGTGGGGTTCTTCACTAGATAGGAAAAACAGGTCATAATTTTTTTTTGCAAACAAGAGACCATGAATTCCTGAGAAGATATTCATCAAACTAATCCTTTCTTCTTCAGATAAATCAGAATAACTCAATGGCTTTGCAATGATTTTCATCAAAATTCTCAATTCAGGACTGCATATATTACATAACACTCCCATTTGTATAGTACTTCCCAATGTACATACAGACTCAAAACTCTAAAATCTGAAAAGTTGAGAAAAATACAGAGTAGGCATGGGTATAGGCTTGTGATGAACATCAAAACGTTATAAGAAAATAAATATTATTTTTCATTGCCTAGACAGTTTAAGTCAGCAAAGATAAAAATTAAGAAACTGCACCTGAACATCCTTACTAGTAATGCTTTAACAGTGTTCAATCCAAAGCATATAAATTCAGGCAGTAGGCCATTCAGCCCTTTTAGCCTACTGACATTCTAGATGATCATGGCTGATTTGATTGTAACCATGTCCACAAACCGGCCTACTCCTGATAACCTTTCACCATCTTGCTTAATAAAAGTTTATGTAACAATCTCATTCAAACTGACAATTTGGACAGTCGTTTCCTATACTTAAAAAAAAAAATCACCTATTTGTGTAATGCAATTCAACTTCTCACTGGATTCTTCAACAAAGAATTCAGAGAAGGCCAAGCATAGAAACAGACATTTGGCCCAACAGGTTCAAGCCAGTGTTTATGCTCCATGTGAACCTATTTAATCTTATATACTTACATTTTCTGAAACATATCTACGCTAGTCACCTTAATTAATCTTTCTGGTAGTGAGTTAAAAGTTCTGACCAATCTCTGAAATTACAAATTTCATCTGCATTTGTTACTGGATTACCATCTTATATTTCTTAACACCAGTTATGGCTACCCCCACAAGTGGAAACATATTCTCCACGTTTTGATACAGTCACAGACATGAAATATGAATTTTGTTTGCGCACAGATTTTCCCTGACTTTAGCAATTACAGGATTTGACTTGTTTCAGATGTCCATCAGATCCTGTGTTTCATTTTTGTCTTTAACCTTTCATAATCTTAAGACTTCAAACAGACCATATTTCAGCCTATTATTCACAGGAAAAAGGGAGACCAGACCTGTCTCACCTATGCCAATATGTACAACCCCTATATTCTAGTATCATTCTTCAAAACTTTTCACCTTTCAAGTACTAACATACAAATTGAGGAGCAAGAGTAGGCCATTCAGCCCCTCAAATGTCCTTCCCTCATTTGATAAGATCATGGCTAATCTAATAGTAGCCTCAAGTCCACATTCTCATCTATCTTCAACAAACTATCAGTCCCTTGTTAGTTCTAACTTTTTTTTAGAAATATTCAAAACATATTCTACAGTCTTCTAAAATGGCAGTCAGAATTGTGCACATTGGGGTCAAAACTCAGAGTCTGCTGGTTAAACTTAATTTCTCTATTATTTCATCAATAGCTCAGGAAGATATCCAACTCTTAGTGCCAGCTCTTTAGAAGAGCTAATTAAATTACTCCCACTCCCGGCTCTTTCCTCAAAACTACCTTTTTTTCCACTGCAGTAACTCTGTATACTTAACACAACAGTCCTGGTGGAATCCTCTAACAAAATAGGTCAATGACGACAGTTCGAGGACAAAAATCACCTGAAACTCCGGCATGAAATTATTTGAATATTCTTGCAACACAAAATCCTCCTCTCCACTTAATTTCATTAAAAGTAAAATAGTTAATTGCTGCATCCACAACAATACTCTCAGTTATACAATGGAGAATACAAGGGAATCTTTTACCTTCAGCTTTACATAACATTCATCTGGGCTAGCATTACTGAAACCCAGTAAAAGGAAATAAAAACTATAAAAATAAAACTGTAAAAGTAAAAGTAAAAGTAAACTAAAACTAAAACTGTTGAATGTTGTAATCCAATCCAAAATTTACAAATACTGAACCTTTGGAGATTTGCTGCTAGCAGATTTTTAAATTGCAAAGAATATTAACAACAAAGGGCTGAATTTTACCAAAAATTGGCTTTCTATTTCGTGTGCTTAAGTGGAGACTTTTCCTCCAGGAGCTTGAGCAAATTATCTCACACAATTCCCTGCTGCTCAGTTCATTACGCATGAACCACACTTCTATGGTGTCACTCCTGCACAATCTTGCATTTATTAGTGGTAGAAGTACCCACTGTGATTTTGAGGGATTTTTGCCACTGGCACCATACTTCATAAACACAAATAGCCCTTCATCTACACACACAGTGAAAGGGAAATGAGAAAGAAAAGTCTCATCAGAAATAGAAAATCACATTTTTAAAATGTATTGCTACTTTACATCATGGCCTGTCTGTAACTGCAGCTACAAGAATAAAGCGTGTAGTTTGTACTATGTTCGAACCCTATGTAAGGGTGTGCCTCTGTTTCCCCAACATTCAGTGCTCTGCAACATCTTGTCACTCTTCAGGACTAACTGTGGCTGAGATACAGAACTAGTGATTGTCCCAAGCAGCCATCTGACCATGTCTAAGCCTGGATTGAGACTGGAAACTACTCTATTCTGAATGTGGTGGTACCCCCTGACTGAGAAGTACTCCTCTTAGACTTCAGACATGGCCATTTGATTGAAGCACAGTCAAAGTGTGTTCTGTCTAAGCTGTGGGCACATGTTGAAGATGTGACGTTAATCGAGGACCATGCTGTACAGCAACATGTTCATGCCCTTAAACGATCATTGATAAACCACAAGATAAGAATTAGGCCATTTGGACTCTTGAGTGCGCACCATCACTGGATCGTGACTGATCTGTTTCTCAACACCATTCTCCTATGTTATTCTCAAACCCTTGATCCCTTCATTAATCAAGAATCAATGTCCATCTTAAAGACACTTAATGACTTGGCCTCCACAGCCTTCTGTAGCAATGAGTTTCACAACCCCCTGGATGAAGAAATCCCTCCTCATCACAGTTATGGATGACAGTGACAAACTACCTGGTTTTGTTTATGTGCTAAAAGGCAAAACAAGACAGAAGTACTGTGAACTTGTCAGTTCTAAATGAGGTGGCAAAGCACAAATAAACAAGGCAGCGAAGAGATGGTCTGAGCATACAAACAGGCGAGGAGTGAATGAATGCTCTGAAAGCAACAATGAGCCCCAAGATACACCCTGCTCCAATGTTTGAGATGCATTCCTGTCCCTGTACGAAAGAAAGGCATTGGTGAAATGGAAATCTGTATTCCACTCAAGTGGATGATGTGCTGTGACAATATGCTGAGGGCCTGGTCTGTGTCCAATGAATGCAGATGGTTGTTACCCACGAAGTGTGCCTGGAGATACTGGGGACTGCTGGCTAAGATGAAGGCCTAGAAAAGCAAGCAGTGAGTTGCACTGCAGGTACCCATTCTGTCTTTGATGTTAGGAACTATCATCTGGTTTCTCTTTGCAGCTTGGGAGACAAAGTAAATTGCATTCAAAGGAGGTGAGAATAAGTAATAATGAGTTGTTAATGCATGCAAATAGGCCCTTTTGCCACTCACTAGCAAGATTCTCATCTGGATGTTAAAACCTTTTATGGAAAATCAGACCTTTTCATCCCTCAATGTTGAGTATCTCAACAGGGACTGGGAAAATTCAGCCCATACTTCATGCTGGTGTTCATTATGTATATATATTCTGTACGTACCCCATTCCTCCTGAATAGCAGCAAGGTTTGCCAGAAATTTTTGATGGTACAGCTTTTCCAGCTGAATAAACTGTATTGCTTTTCCATCTGGATGTACAGTAAAGGAAAATCATACTGTTCATATAATCAAATTAACTGTAAAACACGAATCAGAGATAGTAGGAACTGCAGATGCTGGAGAATCCGAGACAACAAGGTGCAGGGCTGGATGAACACAGCAGGCCAAGCAGCATCATAGGAGCAGAGAGGCTGACGTTTCGGGCCTAGACCCTTCATTAGAAAAGGGGGAGGGGAAGGGGGTTTTGAAATAAATAGGGAGAGAGTGGGAGGCGGATAGAAGAGGGATAGAGGAGAGGATAGGTGGAGAGGAAACAAACAGGTCAAAGAGGCGGGGATGGGGCCAGGAAAGGTGAGTGTAGGTAGGGAGTTAGGAAGGGGATAGGTCAGTCCAGGGCATCTCCAGGCACTACAATCAAGCCTACCCCAGCTCAGAGCCTCCCTCTCCCAGACCTGCAAAGGACCTCTCCTGTTTTTTATTCTACGTAGGATCCACAACCTGAACTCCCAATTCTACTCAGCTTTATTGGACACTAAAAACCGTAAGTACAGTAAACTTACTGGTGCCTACCACCCAAAACGGGCTTCCTCCACCCCCCAAATCCCCAGCCGTACCCAGGACCTTCCCCACAATGGGTCCGCCGCCATTGGCCATGAGGCCACTATCGGAGAACCCACAGATGACGTCACATCCGCCACCGCCGGGTTCCCCACTTCCGGGACAGCAAGCACCATCGCTGCCGTTGCCACTGACACTGAAGTCGCGACCACCCTCACCGCTACTGCCGCCGCCTACCCCGCTCCTCCTACCTCCGACGCCGGTCCGCCCATCACCGACGCGGACGCAACTCCACCCACCGCCGGCGCAACTCCGCCCACCGCCGACACCGGCACAACTCCGCCCACCGCCGACGCAGCTCCGCCCACAGCTGACGCCGACGTAGCTCCGCCCACCACCTCCACAGCCAGCAGCTCCAGAGGAGACAGCAGCACCCAGCCCTGCCGAGTCTTCAGCATCCCCCCAGACCTACCCCTTACTGAGGACGAACAGTCAGTCCTCAGTAAAGGGCTCACCTTTGTCCCCCTCCACCCACAGATCAACGAATACCGCTCACGCTTGGACATAGAACAGTTTTTCCGCCGCCTCCGCCTCCACGCTTACTTCTTTAACCATGAACCTAACCCTCCCTCTACTGACCCCTTCTCCCACTTCCAACACACCCCCTCCTCCTGGACACCACCCCAAGGCCTCCTACCCTCCCTCGACCTCTTCATCTCCAACTGCCGTCGAGACATCAATCGCCTCAACCTCTCCACCCCTCTCACCCACTCCAACCTCTCCCCCGCAGAACGTGCAGCCCTCCGCTCCCTCCGCTCCAATCCCAACTTCACCATAAAACCCGCGGACAAGGGAGGTGCAGTTGTAGTATGGCGCACTGACCTCTACATCGCCGAGGCCGGACGCCAACTCTCCGACACCTCCTCCTACCGCCCCCTTGATCATGACCCCACCCCTGAGCACCAAACCATCATCTCGCAAACCATCCACAACCTCATCACCTCAGGTGACCTCCCACCCACGGCCTCCAACCTCATCGTTCCCCAACCTCGCACTGCCCGCTTCTATCTCCTTCCCAAAATCCACAAACCTGAATGCCCTGGTCGACCCATTGTCTCCGCCTGCTCCTGCCCCACCGAACTGATCTCCAACTATCTCGACTCCATTTTCTCCCCCTTGGTCCAGGAACTCCCTACCTATGTCCGTGACACCACCCATGCCCTCCACCTCCTCCAGAACTTCCAATTCCCCGGTCCCCAACACCTCATCTTTACCATGGACGTCCAGTCCCTCTACACCTGCATTCCCCATGCAGATGGCCTTAAGGCCCTCCGCTTCTTCCTGTCCCGCAGGCCCAACCAGTCCCCCTCCACTGACACCCTCATCCGCTTAGCCGAACTCGTCCTCACACTCAACAACTTCTCTTTCAATTCCTCCCACTTCCTACAGACAAAGGGGTTAGCCATGGGTACCCGCATGGGCCCAAGCTACGCCTGCCTCTTTGTAGGTTACGTGGAACAATCCCTCTTCCGTACCTACACCGGCCCTAAACCCCACCTCTTCCTCCGTTACATTGATGACTGTATCGGCGCCGCCTCGTGCTCCCACGAGGAGCTCGAACAGTTCATACACTTCACTAACACCTTCCACCCCAACCTTAAATTTACCTGGACCATCTCTAACACCTCTCTCCCCTTCCTGGACCTCTCTGTCTCCATATCGGGCAACCACCTAGAAACCGATATTCATTTCAAGCCCACCGACTCCCACAGCTACCTAGAATACTCCTCCTCCCACCCACCTTCCTGCAAAAATGCTATCCCCTATTCTCAATTCCTTCGCCTCCGCCGCATCTGCTCCCAGGATGAGGCATTCCACTCCCGTACATCTCAGTTGTCCTCGTTTTTCAAGGACCGTAACTTCCCCTCCTCGGTGGTCGAGAACGCCCTCAACCGTGTCTCCCACATCTCCCGCACCTCATCCCTCACACCCCGTCCACGCAATAAAAACCAAAAAAGAATCCCCCTCGTCCTCACGTACCACCCCTCCAACCTCCGGATCCAACGCATCATCCTCCGACACTTCCGCCATCTGCAATCCGACCCCACCACCAAAGACATCTTTCCCTCCCCACCTTTATCTGCTTTCCGGAGGGACAACTCTCTCCGTGACTCCCTTGTCCGCTCCACACTCCCCTCCAGCTCCACCACACCCGGCACTTTTCCCTGCAACCGCAGGAAGTGCTACACCTGCCCCCATACCTCCTCCCTCACCCCCATCCCAGGCCCCAAGAAGACTTTCCACATCAAGCAGATGTTCACCTGCACATCTGCCAATGTGGTATACTGCATCCGCTGTACCCGGTGTGGCTTCCTCTACATCGGGGAAACCAAGCGGAGACTCGGGGACCGCTTTGCAGAACACCTACGCTCGGTTCGCAACAAACAACTGCACCTCCCAGTCGCGAACCATTTCAACTCCCCCTCCCATTCCTCAGACGACATGTCCATCCTGGGCCTCCTGCAGTGCCACAACGATGCCACCCGAAGGTTGCAGGAACAGCAACTCATATTCCGCTTGGGAACCCTGCAGCCCAATGGTATCAATGTGGATTTCACAAGTTTCAAAATCTCCCCTCCCCCCACCGCATCCCAAAACCAGTCCAACTCGTCCCTGCCTCCCTAACCTGTTCTTCCTCCCACCTATCCCCTCCTCCCACCTCAAGCCGCACCTCCATCTCCTACCGACCAACCTCATCCCGCCCCCTTGACCTGTCCGTCCTCCCTGGACTGACCTATCCCCTTCCTAACTCCCTACCTACACTCACCTTTCCTGGCCCCATCCCCGCCTCTTCGAACTGTAAAACACTGCTAGTTCTTATAGGAAAGTACATATATAAAACAAAATGCACTTAATTGCAGAGGGATTCTGAGGTGTTACCAAAAATGTTATTTTTCTTCGGAGGGGAATGTTGATGTCAGGTAACATGAACAATGTTCTGACGTTACACAAAAAATAAAAGAAAATTATTTCATGTGTCAATATTAGGAAACAAAGTTTAAAGTAACATTTTATGACAATTAGCTATGGCAATGCATGAGCAAATGTGCCCGACTTGGAAGGTGCCAGATCCCTGTCTTAGTGCTGATCCAGTTCTTGACAGTGGAGGTATCGTTAAGCCTTGAGCTACTGCAGTGCATGTTATAGATTATACATACAGCAGCCACATTAGTAGTCACTAACCTCATTCAGAGATGAAGCAACTAAGTGATATTGCGCATGAAAATAAAATATTTGATCAAATATTGTACCAATGAATCTGACCAAAATTGAAGTCAATGGGAATCAAGGAAAACCCTGCACTATTTGGAGGCACAATCAGCACAAAAGATGCACTGCAACACCTCAAGCTTCCTTCTCTAGTGCATTCCAAATTCTCAACTTCTTTAACTGAGGATGAGGGTATTAGATGGATGGAAACACGAAATTTCCTTCCTAGCTACACACACAGACCCAGGAGTAAGACATTCAGCCTGTCAACCCTGTTCTGTCATTTAATACGATTATGGCTGATCTAACACTTCAATGCCTTTTAATCGACACTATTCCCATAACCTTTATGCAACCGATAATCAGAAATCTATCAATCTCTACCATAAACATTCTCCAAGACTGAACTTCTTGACTTTTGGGTGTAAAGAAATCCAAAGATTCATAATCCTGCAATCAAAATAGAATTTCTCCTCATCTCAGTACAAAGTGACTTCACCCACCATTTTCAAATTGTCCCTTCTGGTTCTAGACTCCGAACCAGGAGAAACAGCACACCTGTGTCTATCTGTTCTATCCCTTTAAGTATTTTGTAGGTTTCAATGAGAGTACCTCTCATTATTCAAAATTTGAGAGAATATAATCCCAGGCTGCCAATCACTCCTCACAGAGCAGATTAATAAAGACAAATACAGGTCCTTTACAGTCAGAAACAGAGGAAATTATAATGGGAAACAAAGAAATGGCATGAAAATTGAACACAGTTTGTTCTGTCTTCTCAGAGAGATGCACAAATATCCTCCTAGATGTGTTAGGAAACCAAGGGCCTAATGAGAGGGCGGAATTGAAAGAAATCAGTATTCGCAAGAAAACAGTGCTAGGTAAATTACAGGGATTAAAGGCTGACAAATCACCATGGCCTGACAATCTACATTCCAGAGTACTGAAGGAAGTGGCCCCGAAAACAATTGAAGCATTGGTGGTCACCTTGCAAAGTTTTATCGCAATTCTGGAGCAGTTCCTACAGTTTACAGGGTGGCAAATGTAATCCCACTATTTAAAAAGAGAGAGAGAAATAACAGAAAATACAGACCAGTTAGTGTCACATTAGTAGTGGGGAAAATACTAGAATCTATTATAAAGTATATATTAACAGAACATTTGGAAAATATTAACAGGATTGGACAATGCTCGCATGGGT